AATGACTTCGAAGCCAAGGACTGTCCAAATCCAGGGCCACCTGCTTACCATTGAGCACCCAGCAGTGGGTGGCCTTTCTGATCAAAGGCCTGGAGGAGCAGAAGGGACAGAGGCTGTAATTCGCAGTGCCCAGCAATAAAACACGGTGGTAGCAGCAAATGTCCTGCCCTTGTGGTTAGCAAGCACTGTCATTAGAGTTGTCTTCCACAGAGAAGGAATAATGTGTGCGTGTGTGTGTGTGAGCTCACACATTAGATGGGGTTGCAGCTTTAAAACTCTCTGTGGCTTGTGACTTGAGCAATGACACATGAGCTAGCACAATGTCCTTTGCTATCCAACAATTCCTGCTCTCCATGTTACTCACTTCTTTGTGCCCAATCATTGTCTGTAATTATGTTACTGAGAACTCACATCAGTCTGTCCATAACAGGCCAAAGGATCAAGGCAATGTCCTAGGGCAAAATTTTAGGAGCCCTCAGGGATGTTAGAGGCTGAAAGCCAACTAGTTAGTCAATCCTACCATTACTGCCCGTGCTCAATATTCTACTCCGGCCTTCCTTCTGGAAGTCAGGACGACCCAAACCGAGCAAACAGGCAGGTATAGGACCAAGGGCAAACAGGCCCTTGGTGCAGCCTAACCCTGCCTCCTGCGCGCCCCCTGCCGCGTACTCAGCTGCACTGACCTCTCCAGCCTTTTCCCGCCGTCTCCTATGCCCCTCCAGGCCCGCGCAGATGCCAACAGTCAGATTCCAGCTAAACCTCCAGTTCTGGACACCATTTTCTATTACCACCCACAGACTGTGTCTCCCAGACAGTGGCGAGAGAGAAGTGACTTAGTCTAAGTGGAACCAAAACTAAGCCAACCAATTAGCCAACCAACCAAAACAAACAAAAAAAAACCCCCACCCATTTTTAGACCTAGCAATGGTTAGCTTAACACCAAGGGATGGCCTTTTGTGAAACTCTCTCATTTCTCCAAAACCCTTGCCCCGCCTGGTTCTCCATCAGAGCACTCACCGGAGCCCCTGACGTGTTGCCTGTGTAATTGTAGCCTATTGCTTACCCCCACATGCTTTAGAGTCTAAGCTCTAAAGGAGCAGGGACTCTTATCTCCAACCAGCCTATACGAGGCGAGGCGGGGACTTCATACATTTCTTGTGATTGGAAAGGCACCTGACACACCCCTTTCTGATGTTTATTTTCAAGGCCACCCCTGAGGTTCACTTTCACCTCATTTAACTTATAAAGTGAGGGAAAACTTCCTCTTGTTCCAGACCCAGGCTGACTACGGGGGTCTGTATGATTCCCCAATTTTCCCCGCCTCCAACACGTACACAGTGAGGGACCGTCCCGCATTTTCATCCCATTTCACATTAATGGTCCTGGTTTCAATTTCCCACACTAGTTTCTCATTAGTTGACCTAGCACTCAGTTGGGATCTGAGCTATAGGAACGTAAGGACAATCTAGTTTTCACTCGAGAAGGAAACAAGAATTATGACTAATATTTATTGAGGGCTTATTATGTACAAAACATCATGCAAGTCCTTTGAGCTCATAACCTGGCTCACAACCCACACAAGGAACCCATGAGATAGACATTGTTATTATTATTATTATCCCCACTTTGCGGTCCAGGAAGCCGAGGATGGAGAAGTAATGCACCTAAGGCAACACGGGTTATAACTAACAACCCAGCCTTGTCGACAGGAAAGTCCATGCTTCCAAGGAAGAAAGGCAGGGAAAAGAGGGGAGGCAGAAGGAAGGTGGACCATATTTGTGTTTTGCTAAACCATTATAGCTGTATCCAAGAAACTTTACGTTTTTAAAAGGTGATTTTTAAAAACTATCATTTCAATGTGAAAAAGTGAGTTTGGGGCTAGAGAGTTTCTGATGAAGCTATTATTAATTTCTGCAGTAAAAATAAGTTATTTTATTAATTTCTGATGTTATTATTCATGAAGTTACTAATTTCTGCAGTAAAAATAAAAGTGCTGTAACTTCCTAAGTGTATAGTCGTAGCGCATGCTGCTGAGCGAACTCAGGGAGAGCGTTAAGTGCAGTTATTAGCACAGACCCCTAGGAATCCCTCTCTCTCCCTCTCCCTGGCAGGAGGGAAAGCGTGCAGAGCCTATACTGAACAGCTCTGCTGCTCCGGCTACACCTTTTCTTTTTTCTTTTAGAAATGCAACCGAAAGCAGTCTGTAAATGCAAATCAAATTCCTTAGCTAATCAACTGTGTTCTCACCAATGCAAGAAATGGACACTCAGGCTGCAGCGCACTCCAGGTTCAACATCCAGGTTCTGGGCTCCGAGGGAGCCTACAGGAGGCACCACCTATGCAAGCCGGGCAAAGGAAGGAGGCGGACAGGAGGAACAAAGGGGTGTGAATGGGGGAAGGAGAAGACAAAACCATCTACTTCTCCAGTTTGCCCAGCTTTTTCATCTTGAGTGAAGTCTGCTTTCCAGTTTGGGAGAAGCCACTACTCCCCTGGGCTGGGTAGTGCTTCATGAGACAAGGTGAAACGGAGTCATGCTTTTTCTGTTCTTCCAGTGTGGATGGGTGGCTGCTAGCACAGAGTGGGACAGGAGTCCTTGTCTTGGTTTTAGCGGTGACTGTCCCAACCTTCGTAAAACTCCCTTAAAATCTGAAGTATTTTTAGTTCAAAAATGACGTTTTGGAGAACTGTGATAAGAGAAGTGGGCTCTTGCCCCTGCCCTGATTGATGGCTGCGTAAGTCATTTAACAACCCTGGTTTCTACTCCTATACATGACGGGATCGGCATTTTCTCATTCCGTGGACTCGGTAATTACATCCAAGACAAATGCCAACCAGGGAGGGGTAACAGAGGGAGCTGGAAATCAGACTTGCCCGAGGAGTACATCAGTGACTGCACTTCCGGGCTCTGTAAAACAAAGCCACAGTGTTTTTTACTAACTCAATAATCTGGATGAGAGATTTCACTTTTCATTTAATGTTTATATTAACTTACATTGGTCATGATGAGTTTGGTGTCTCCACGGTTACTTCTAAAAATGAAACCATGACTACAGACATTGTTCAAATGGGAAAAGCTTGGACTCTGGTCTTGCTTCCTTGGAGCCGACGGCCCAGGATGGTTGGTTGCCCGGAACACGTCAATTGAAGGTGCCGCGGGAGCAACCCTGACTTTGAACTTTGCCATCATAACATAGGCGTTGTTGAACTGCTGCAGGGAGTCGTACCCAGCTTTTGAATTTAAAGGAATATGGAAAACTCATTCCTTAGGGTATCACACATGTTCAAATGCTGGCTTTCCCACACACTAGTGTGTGCTCTTAGTCAAGATAGTTATTTTGTTTCTTAAAGTGTAAACTCATTTTACAAATAAAGTAATAAATACATTTTCAAAAAATTCTGACAATAGCAACTGATGAAACTTCAGAAATTTTCTAGGCATTTACAATGCATTTCCTATATTTTACACAAATAGATTGTGCTCTACATAGCATTCTTTTTACCTTTATGAATACCTCTTAAAATATTATCATTTTCTTGTGCACATCCTAGAACTGCCTTTGTATGGATATTCCATATTTATTGAGACAGTCTTGTTAACAAACACATAAGTGGCTTTCTGTTTGGGGTTACTAGAGAACAACGCTTTCCTGAAACTTTTTGCTCACTTGTGCAAATCTGGCAGCAGGATAAATTCCTAGAAGTAGAGCTGCTAGGTCCAAGGTTATGGTCACTTTCAATGTTGATAAGTATTACCAAATCAGCCAAGTTATTTAAGCGGGCCTTGATTTCTTCATGTCTGTAAACAGTGGACAATGTGACTTTCTCCAAGGTTTTGTGCTTGGATCAAATGAGATTAAGGTATATAAAAGCCTAGTATATAGCAAGTAGGCTGTCAATGAACATTAATCTCCAACCTTCCTTTTACTTAGACAGCTGTTCATGAATATCCAATGACTAGAGCTTAGGACATGAACTCAGCAAACATAAAATAATACAGAAAAGCCTGTGCCTTTAAAATGTACCCATTTTAAACTCCATGGCTGAACATAACCCCTGAAATCTCTAGAGGTCACATGGAATATTTTCAAGAGGACACGAATTTGCGATTAACTGTAAATCCCACTTTCCTAGCCTAGTCAGGTTGCCTTGATTTGACGGTTGCCTCTTTTAACATACACAATGTCCCCAATGATACACACAGAAGGTACTAGACTGATGCACCAACCACGACCCAGCTTCCAGTCATGTCTTTTGTTCTTGCGTGGAAATCTGGCTGCTCAAGTTAAGTCGTTCATTTATTAGTAAAACCTGTAGGTTCAATGAGGAAGAAAAATATGGAATACTTTAGAGCTCTTATTTCCAATCCACTTTAGGAAATTTTGTTGAGTGTTCCCCAAACCTCCGGGGCCGTGGCACATTTTTAAATTGATGAAAAGTGCAGGAGTTTAATGGCACATGTGTGAAGGAAGCCCCAGCTCGTGTTAACTCCAGGCAGAACCTTCTGGAAGTGCCCGTCGAACCAGGCAGCCATTGCTCCACTCCGTCCTGGCTGTTTATTTCACACTCATTTCACTCAGTCGAGGGCCCAACCGGCCCAACAGCATTGCCGACCCAGGCCAAAGATCCCCGTCGGTCCCCAGGTCACCTGGCCCCGGCCCCGGCTCAGGGGACGGGGAGGTACCCTCAGCTTCGTGCCCCACGCAGCCCCACTTAAGCAACCATGTGCAGCGCGGTCACGAGGGGGCCGGTCGGGACTCGGCCCTGGCAGGGCACTCCCACCGGACTCCCTCAGCGCCCTGAACGTTTCCCGGGCAGCCCGGCGAGGGCGGGGACCCGGGCGCAGGCCCGATCAGGGGACGCGACCCCGAGCGCCAGGACAAAGGGCGCAGGCGGCTCGGCCCAGGGCGGAGGCGCCGGAGGGGGAGGAAAGCGAGCGCGGAGGCCGGGCCGGCCCAGGGCACCGGGCGCGCTTCCGCCGGCCGCCGCGCGCGCCGCGGTCCATGGGAGGCTCGCCGGCGGGGGCGGGGGCCGCGCAGCCGGGGAGTTTCAGGAACTGGCGGAGCGGGCGGCGGCTGGAGTCGCCGAGCGCCCACACTCGGGGCCGAGGCGGAGCTGCCGCCGCGCCGGGGCCCAGCCGTAGTCGCCCTCAGCGTCGCCTGCCCGCCTCGGGTCGACCGCGCGGAGCGGGAGAGGAGCCGGCAGTCCCGGGCCGGGGATCCGCCCGCCATGGCCACCAAGGTGAGGGGCGCGCGGCGCAGGCCCTGGCGGCCCCCTGGCCTCTCGGCGGCGCGGGTTGGGAGGGACAAGGGGGAGGCTGAGGGGCCGCCCCGGGGATCCCCGAAACCCCGGGCTCGGGTCACGCGGGACGAGAGCGTTCGGGACCCGGCTGGAGGTGCGTGAGGGTCGCGGGGCGGGACCCCGGGCACCAGAGGCGCCGCCTGCAAAGTTTGCGACGGAGCGTGGGCTGCGGCCGGGCCGAAGGAAGGAAAGTTCCCGCAGCTCCAGCTCGCTGCGAGCGGCCGCCCCGGCGGGACCGCGATCACGTCCCCAGCGGCGTGCGGTTCGCACAGCCCCTCACGTCCGGCCGCCGCGTACAGCCGCGTCCCCTCCGTCAGCCGGGGCTGCGACCCCCGCACGCCGGCCGGTTTGGGGGCCAGACCCCCGCGGGCGAGGACCGAGCGTCTGAAGTTCAGGCCCAGCACTGGGGGACGTAGCACGCAAATTGAAAGCCCCGCGCTTCCACTTCCTTCATTTTTCTTTCCTTTTTTTTTTTTCTTTTCTTTTTGTTTTGCTACCTTTTCAATTTGAATGGTATTTCCAGCGTGAATAAAATACAAAGTGGGAAATGACTATGCTTTCAGTAACGCGTTTGCTTGAAAAAGGCCCAGGCCCGAATTACGTGGTGGAACTTGGACTCGTGCTTGGTAATTGGCCAGCAGTGGTGGCCTGCTTATTTCAGGGTATTGCTCGTGGAATTAATGGTCGCTCTTTGCCAGCTGAGTCTGCAGGAGCCACCTTTCCCTGCGCCCGTTCCTGGGGCGTTTTCCTTAGTTCTGGATGTAAACTGGGGAAGGCTGGGCTACGGACGGAGGGAGGTGGGGACCCCTCCAGGAGCCGGTCCTGTAGTTTGATGGATTCTGATGGATGGATTGACTGACGCAGGTAGTTTTTGTAAGGTTACCTTTATAAACATCAGCACCCGGTTCCGTATTTAGGTTTGAAATCTACAAGTTTCTTTTGGAGTGGTGAAGACCTTACTTTTGTTGTTGGGTTTTTGTTAGAGAGGTAACTTAAAGAAAGTGGTAAGAAATTTGAAAGATCAGATTGGCTGATGTCATTTGTCTTAAATTTTGTGCTCAGAATCAGTCGGTGCAGTGTTTATTTTTTTTTTAAATGGAGATTATTCTCCAAGGAACCTATTGGCTGCTCTGACTGAAATAATTACTTTCTTGCTAAAATATTATTGTCTCTGTTATTCCTTGGTTTTATCAGGTGTGATAGAACTTTTTTTTTTTTTTTTGGATTCCTTTTCAAAACATGTATAATTTTATGTGTTGATTTTTTTTTTAAAAGAAACAAAACTGAACTCAAGGATTTCTAAGGAAATTTGATTTTGAGGTTTGTTGCCACACATTTCGGAAATTACCAGTTACACGGTTTGTTTTACACTCATTTTGCAACCTTCAGTGCTGAATGTGGTAGATGCCTCTTCGGTGGTGGTCAGTGTTGTGGTTATTTCTCACTCTGATCTTCCAGTGCATGCTGCCTCTACTGTCCTTGAAGTGGGGCCCAGCTTAGCAAGTGGTGCAGGGACACATAGCGGAAATTGTATTCCATAGGTACACCTGACCTTAGTTTTTCCCTAAAATAGAAAAGGGTGGAGGTTCTTGTACTAAACTTGAATTGCACGTGTCCTCACTAAATACATGCCTGATCGCAGGCGTCAGCACTTCCTCCTTGGTCTGCCCGGCTCTGAAGGCACATTCCAGGAACTCTGGCTTTTGGTGTCTTCCACCTTCCTAATCAGCATTCCACAGGGGACCCATTTCCATGTGTGCATGGTGACAAACCACTTCCGTTTTTTTAAAAAGGAAAAGCAAAGAAGCATGTAATAAAAAAGGACCCTGACTCAGTTTTCTGGTTTTCCTGCTTCCTGGTGATTCTTGTATCAAACCAAACTCTCAGTTTTCAGTTGTTCCCAGAGCGAAATGTTGTCTTTCTTGGTTCCCCTCCACCCACACCTCTGCCCTGACTAGCATCTGAGTGGTTTGGGCTTTTTCCTCCCCTTTCCTTAATTGGGTAGGTGGGGAGAACATACTTTTAGTAACTAATAAAATCTAACTTTTTATGAAATTGAACTCACATGGCACTCAGGCTCTTGCATTAAGTGATGACAAATAAATACAGTATCTGGACATTTTAGGCAGTGTTGGGTTTCGCTTTGCATTTATCAGAGAATGGCTTTGGTTCTCTTGGATACGACATTATATATCGTTCTACGTTTTCTTGAAGATATACTATCATGATTTTTAAAAAACCTTTCTGGTATAGCCAGAATAGAAATTATCTTTGAGAAGAAAAATTTGAACTAGTCAGTTCCCTGCTGCCCAAGAAAGTGAATCAGTAACTGCATATTTTAAAGGGGTTCCTTGGCTCTACTCGGTGCCCAGTGTGCTGATCAGTGTGTGTTGCTCCGAGGCCTGTTTGGTCCCATTTAACAAACCCGGGGAAAGGCTGAAACAGAGTAGTAAAGTCTTGACTTCCAGTAGAAGCGTCAGAAGGTGCTATTTTGACACAGTCAAATGGCGAACTGAGGGGTAAATTAAGTTTTATTTATTAAATCTAGGGAAATAAATTATTTTTGGCCCATATTTATCAAAAGGCACATAAAGAAAATAATTAGTAGAAGTTAATCCATAGCTATAGAATTTAGCTGTAATTTCCATTTCAAAGTTAACCTTTGGTAACTAACTGGATCATTTCGTGCTTACATAGTCACTTTTAAGAGAAATCATTGTAACAAGATTCTAGGAGTTCCTCAGGCTTTTTTTTTTTTAACTTTCCAGTTCAAATGTTTAAAGTTACACATTTGTGTTATACTGCTTGTCTGGTAGAATTTAGTGGGGATGGAATGTTGAAATACTGCTAGGAAATCAGTAAATTGCTCAGGACTGTTCGTGATAAACCTTATAGGATACATTTTAGAAAGTAAAGTTTGTGGTCTCTCCTGAGCAAAAACCTCTTTATCTGGGGAAAAAAAAAAATAGAAATATCTTTCTCAAGAGTGTTCAGGGTTAAAGTTGGTTTTGATAGTTTTTTAGAAAAAAGCATGAAAATGCTAACTAACCTTTTAATTTTTTTGTAACAGTAGTACCTTTAAAAGAGTCTTAATAGACTATACGGACAGTTTTTGTATAGTCAAAGAAAAATTCTATGACAGTAGGAAGGTCTTATTAAACGAGGAATAGGTTAGAAAGCATAAAAATTTTTGCAAAGTTTTCTACTGCTCCCTGTTTTTATTTATTTACTTCTAATCCTCACCCGAGGATATGTTTTTGATTTTGAGAGCGAGAGAGTGAGTAAACGAGCAAGCACACGTACTTCTCATGTGCCCTGACGGGGGATTGAACTTGCAGCCTTTCAGTGAACAGGATGACTCTCCAACCAGCCAGGTCCCTTGCCCAGGGCACTGCTCCCTGTTTTCATATTGACCATCTGACAATTAAATTACAGTTTACTTTAATTGCTCACCTAACACTTTGTAACTGCATATGGTGTTCTTTATTTTCTGGATGCTGTTCTCTGATGTTGTCCACCAGGTACCTGCTTTTTATACCTCCAGTGTCAGCTCAAAGCCTCTCTTCCCTCTGGAAGGTATTCCTGGTCTGCCCAACTCTTGTGACAGGGTCACATATGTCCCTACTGCCATTTAAGGTATGTTTCTATGACGAGTGGCTATCCGCTTTAGGATGCCCGCAGCCCCAGGAGGCTGGCACTGTGTGTGGGCTCACCTTTGATGCTCTGTGACCCGCACGAACCTTATGCTATTACATAAGGGAGCGCTGAATCTTCTGCCTCTGTTCCTCTCTCTCCTGCGTGAAATGACAGAAAGATATTCCAGTGAGATAAGTAACTGTTAGAGAAAACTGTCTCCTGCTGTTACCTTTCATTCATTTAATTGTGCATTTCAGTAAACTAGCTTTTCAGTGTACATGGAAAATACACATCTGTAGCTTAGGTATGAGCAATGTTTCTTAAATATAATCCAGTTTTACTAGTGATTACATGAGAAGTTTGATCTTATATTTTAAGGTAATTGGAACAAGCTTCAAACTTCTGAAATTTTAAAAAGATTAATCTTAACCCTTGAGTTGTTAGACGTGTGTTTAATTTTTTTGAGTATTTTATTTTTTAAATAATTTTTTATATTTCAGTTACAGTTCACATACAGTATTATATTAGTTTCAGGTATACAACATAGTAATTAGACATTTCTACAACTTAGGAAGAGATCACCCCAATAAATCTAGTACCCATTTGACACCATGGACAGTTATTACAATATTACTGACTATACTCCTTATGCTATATTTTACATGCCCATGCGTATTCATAACTACCAATTTGTTCTTCTTAATCCCTTTGCCTTTTTCACCCATCCCCTACCCACCGTCCCATATGGCAGCCATCAAAATGTCCTCTGTATCTATGAGTTTGTTTCTGTATTGTTTGTTCTTTTATTTTATTTTTAGATTCCACATCTAAGTGAAATCGTGTGGTATTTCACTGACATATTTCACTGAGCCAAACACCCTCTAGGTCCATCCATGCTGTCCCAGATGATAGGATTTCGTTCTTTTTTATGGCTGAGTCGTATTTTACTGTATATATGGACCACTTCTCCTGTGTCCACTCATCTGTGGATGGACACTTAGGTTGCGTCCATATTCTGGCCATTGGAAATAATGCTGCCGTGACTATATGGATGGATATGTCTTTTTGAATTCGTGCACTGGGTCACTTTGAGTAAATACCAGAAGTGGAATTGCTGAGTCCTTCTTTGCCTCTTGTAGCCTTTGCTTTAAAGTCTGTTTTGTCTGATATAAGTACTGCTACCCCAGCTTTTTTTTTTTTTTAATCTCCATTTTCATGAAATATCTTTTTCTATCCATTCAGTCTATGTGTGTCTTCGGATGTGAAATGAGTCTCTTGTGGACAGCATGTATAACGGTCTTGTT